ATTAATGTCTTCTACTTTTGGTAAATTGAGGTTGAACAACTTAATGAATATACCGCATGTGGAGATGTCCATAATCACCCCCCCCCACACACACACAGCCGTTAATATCTTCCCCGTGAAATGTTTGTGACTGTAATTGCTGCCCTGATTATATATTGTGTGAACTTAAAGTACGTTATTATATTGGATGACTAATGGAATTTGGTGACAATGCACAGAAATTGGTATTCTGGAAAAGAGTTGGTTTTTAAATTGTATTCGTTCCTGAGTTTGCAGTACATTTCATGGCTCATCTACCTCACAGTGGGTTTGTGGCTGATGGATTGAAATCTTTCTGCTGAGTAGTAAACATCAGAGATAATTTGGTCTTCCCTTAGCTTTTCTCATCACTCATTCAAAATATCAAAAATAAATCCTTGATTACTGTTAATTCACTTTCATCCATACTGACAAAGGGAGAAGGCACATCTGTCAACACTTCAGTGGATACATGGGGGAGGGGTCCTAGAAGTGTGGTCTCCAAGCTTTGCAGGGGACCATTGTGTGCCTTGGAAATAAAGAGATTCTATTAGTTCATTCTTCTCTTGCTGGTCACAGTAGCCCACAGGCCTCTGGATACTCCAACCCCCTTTCCATTGTGGGGTGGGTTTAGAGGTGAGAGAGAACCAGTTGCCTTCTTTTGCTTTTCTAAAGATGTCTCTGATGTGATTAAGTGTAAAATAAAGCTTATATAGTATAACATTTTCAGCAAACACAGACCAATGCCAGTGATTGTTTCAATTTGTGAACAGAGACATTTGCTTGTATAGGGCGAAGTTTAATGCTAAGAAAAATTAGAATAGGTGTTGATGCCATCTGGCCTTCAGTAGTTTTTCTTCAATTAAACTGAACTGAAGCCTAGATTATTCACTGCTAGGCACACTTCTGCATTCAGTAGGTAAAATATTTTTATTTGACATTTCCCTGTATAAAGAAAAGACAGTTGTAGATTCTTCCTAGAACATATTATAACATATAAGTAATGCATAATTTAATCAATCTGAATTCACCCCAAAAGCCTTATAATAACAACCACAAGATGAGTGTATATCAGTGCTTGTCCAAGTGTGGTCTGTGGACCAGCAGCATCCACATCACCTGAGAGCTTATGAGAAATGCTGATTCTCAGGCCCATCCCAGTCCTGCTGAACCAGAAATGGATGGATGGCACCCAGCCTGTCTGTGTTTTAACAAGTTTTCCAGGTGACTCTAATGCAGGCTAAGGTTTGAGAGCCTCAGACATAGAAAATGTTAACGTACTCATTTTATAGATGATATAGTTAATGCTTGGTTATGGGACTGTGATTGGTTGAACACATGACCAGTTAATTTTAGGGCTCTTCCCCAAACCCAGAAACCCTATTTCTCCTTAAACATCAGGTGACCTCCCTCTCTTCAAGAAATGAGTAAAGGAATAGTGAATTCCATAAAGATGGAAATCAGTATCTCTTAAATGAACCGAGAAAGGGACCATTTCACTGCTTTCTAATAATGAGAGTGAGTTGTTCAAACTATTAGCTTGAGAAAATTAACCTAGAAAAAGTTTTAATGACACAAGCAACATTTTTGTGGTCCTGTGCATTGGGTTCCACATTTTCTTTTTAGTGGAGGAGACAGAATAGGCTGTAGTTAAGCCCCAGAGGGGAAGCTATTGCATGCTAATAGAAGAGGGAGACACTATTTTAATCATTGCTTTCTACTCCAGTGAGTCCATGGACAGCTTTTCCATCTGGGTCTTTCCCATGCCACATTACCCATGTTGATAGTGCCCTGCGGTGGCTTTCCTGCACGCACAATTTTACACACAGGCGAGAGAAGTTTCTTAGTCGCTGCGGTCTCAGAATGAATCCTCAGGGCAGCTGGCCTTAAGTACCCCTCTGTGACTTGGGGAATGAACGTTTCCTTGTGAGCCGAGAGTAGAAAACAGTGTTCATTATCTGTAATGTAAAAGTCTGTATAATGTTGCCTGCTAAGATCTAGTTCTTTGTGAACTCAATTTGGGCTTTGTGTGTATAAACAAATAAGTAAAGTTTAAGTCTCTTGTTTGCACTACTGGGAGGAACTTGCTTGAATAGAAAATGTGGCTATAAAATTAGGTGCATGTATTATGTATGTATGTGTAATTTCTATTCTGCATATATGTAAAGCACCATGCGACATATATGGAAAAGTATACCACACATATATGTCAGTGTTTATGGATATTTATAAAGAGGGCACACATGCAGTGCCTACCATGTCCAGAAGTGTTTGTGACAACTCTCCATACACCCCTGTTGTGTATCTCAAGTGACTTGCAGTTTCTTGCACACAATTCCTGCCTCTGTGCATTTGCACTTGCTGTTTCCTCTTCCTGTAACCCTCCTCCCCCTCCAAAACCACAGAATTGTAAGGCTGGCAAACTGTTTCTCATCCTGGTATTAGCTGAAAAGATGTCATAGCCCATGTCTGCAATGTACTTTGAAATGTCTCCTTTAGAGTATAATAATTGGTTTTGTATAGGAGCTACTTAAAACAGGTGTCTGTTTTCTGTATTGTTGATGTAATTCCTCAGTACCAACCCCATACCTGACACATTGCAGCATTTGATAAATAATATTCCAGGGAATTGATGACTGGCATTTCCACTTGGATAAACCCCTCAAACCAGCATCTCCAAATGCATCATCACTTTGCCCAAACTTCCAAGTCCCAATTTGGAATATGGAAGCCGTAGGGCTATTCATGACTCCTCTCTTCCCTTTAGGCAATCCTACCTCCATATTATGGCTCTCATCTTTTTTCCCGTTACCTCTACCTTCATTTGGTCTCCTGTCTCTCAAATGTCCACTTGGTTCTGGTCTTCTGGATGAAACTCCTTCAAGTCTGGTTCTCTTCCTGTTTCTCTCCTTCCAACACAAGTTTTAATTGTCTTGCTGTGGAGATAAGAAACCCAGACCAGATGTTCCATGTCCTCAAGTCTGAGGACTTTACTGCGCATTTGCCTAAGTGAAGCATTGAGCCCTGTATTGATGTTTTCCAACACTCGTGAGGTGACCTTCAGGATTGTGGCTGGTATGGCCTTAGGGGAACTATGGAACAAGTTATTCTGTCCTGCAAGATCTTTGCTGAGTGGCTACCTGTCACACCTCAGAGTCTGGGAGGATTTCCATAGTCGCCCATGGCAAGGAATGGGGTAACGTTTCCGCTAAAATGGGGGAAAAGCAGACTTAGATGGCCATGGCTAGCAAAAGAATAGAAGGCACTGATTCTTGACCTGCCTTTGCAGGATCCAGGCGTTCTCTTGGACCTGCTGTGTGGTTTTGCATCCCAGTGGACAGACTCCACCTCCTCCATGACTGTTAAACTGTAATCATGAGATCGACCTTAGGTGCAAGAAAAGAATCAGACAATTTTGCACTGAATATTTCAAATCAGTGGCAGCTGTTTGAAGGAATTGTTTGGGAACCCCATCTACAAGTAGTTGGGGACATTAAGACTTAAAAGAAATTACACCCACTCCTGTTCAGAGAGTCTGAGTAGCTGAGTGATGATACATGCCCCCTACAGGGAGGAAGGGATTGGATGTCTGCATCCAGCTGTCTCATTGTCAGCATGGGTGGGACAGATGGCTGGAGTCACTTTAAGATGACTGTTCATTGCCGTACAGTTCCATCTAGCTGGTGTAGTGTCTTCCGTATCACTCAGTGATGTGGGTGTCACAAACCTCATGGCTCGGTGTCTAAGATGGACTCTCAAGGTCTCCATCCTTTTGCCTGTAACCCTTTCTGGCATCATCTCCCATGACTTTTCTTCATATGCTCTGTGCATTGAATGTTACCCATGAGAATCCCCTCCTGTAGTGCCATTACATCGTCCCTGTGCTGTTCCTTCTTCCTGGATGCCCCTCTATCCCTTTCCTCCTCCTTACAATGTTCTCCATCTCTAAGCATCTAAAGGCTGTGAATACCTCAATGAACTCTGGTCCTTTCTTATCTGGATATTTGCCAATGTTATGCCTTCTAGCTCCTCTTCTCCATGGTCAATAACTTTCCATGGACTTTTCTCTGGGACCCTGGGGGAACAAATTTCTTTTCTCTGTTGACCCCCATAGCAGTTAACTTTAGAGTTGTCATGAGGGGCGCCTGGGTGGCTCAGCCATTAAGTGTCTGCCTTCAGCTCAGGTCCTGATCCCAGTGTCCTGGGATCGAGCTCCCTGCTTGGCGGGAAGCCTCCTTCCCCCTTTTCCACTCCCTCTGCTGTGTTCCCTCTCTTGCTGTCTCTTCCTCTATCAAATAAATAAAAATAAAATAAAATAAATAAAGTTGTCATGAACACACTGTCCCTGTCTTATGCATATACATTTCTTTACTCCCCTGTTTGATGGCAAGTCCATCCAGAGGAGCTATCATATTTTACGTATCTTGTATCCTAGAGTAACTTGCATTTCATAGGTATTCAGTAATATATAATGAATAAATGAAAAGATTGGGATGTAAGGTGTGCCAAAGGCTGGGAAGGGGGCAGGTAGGTGAGGCAGATTTATCTCTTTCCCTTGGTGTAGAGAGTGAGTTGATGGGAGCCTCTCCTTCCACCCCTCATCCCCAATACCTCATGCCACTCACATATCTTCATACCAGGACTGACTCTCAGGATTATTTTTCAAGTGCGGCACAGAAAGTCCTAGTTCATCGTGACTTAGGAATAGCTCATAGTAGAGACTGGGGCCCCCCTAACCACGCCCATTATACTTTAAAATGTCTTAGAACATACAGTAAACCGAACAGTTAGCAGTTAGCTATCTTGTTTCCGTTCCGATTCTGTTGGTAAACAATGTGAGAGGAAAAAATATCCTAACTGCAGAGAAATCTTCAGGCAGGTCTCAAGATACCATTATTTTTTTGAAAAGTGATGTCAATGATATAAAACAAAGAAAAGAGATCTGTGTGGATGCTTAACAGTTTCACATTTTTGCCTTCCAGGAGACGGAGCTGTTAGATCTCAGCCTTGTCAAGGATGCCAGATGTGGGAAGCATGCCAAAGCTCCCAAGGTAGGAAGCGGAGCGTTGTGCACGCTCCAGATGCTCTTTTGACTATTTACTGTGTCATGGCATCAATTAATTGCCCCAACTAGAAGTTTGTCTGTTGTCAACATTGTAAAACACAATAAAACAGCCAGTCCTTCCAGAAGCCTCTATGCCCTGAACATTCCCACTTTCGTTAAAAGAAAGTAACAGGGAGTAAATATATAGGCAGTTAGACATAGGGGTTTGCTGTCTGTGCTCTAATTTTAGTTTTGTTTGAAAAATATTTCACGATGCCAGAGTTGCTGGGTAATTCCCAATCGTTAAAATGTGCTTGAAGTTACTCGAAAACTTCCTCTTATGCATACATGAACTAACCTTTAGACATGATGAGTAAGAGTCTGTACTTCCAATATTTTGCAACAGCCATCACTATGTTCACGAAGCCAAAGGCTGTTTAATATTAATTAATTAATATTAAATAATATAATATATAATGTAATATAATATTAGCCTCTGTTATTGGTGTTCTCACTGTTGTTTTTGTATTTATTATTATTAAAAATTTCAATCAGATTTGCAGGAAGTCAGTTTTTATTTTGCTTAATGTGGAGAAGTTTATGTTGTAAAGAGAGCTGGGGGAGGGGCTTGGCGGAAAGGGGCTCGAATCTTTCGATAAATATCACTAGCAAAGATCTGCAGAACTTTGGGATCAGATCGGTTGTGTGGCCCATCCATTTGCTTTTGCTTGAAAAACTTACTACAGACATATTCAAAGCAGTTTTGCAGTTTATTTATTTTTGGGAGATTGTTTAAGAATGTTGAATGAAGAACATACATACATTCTTTTCAACTTAGATTCTCTGGTGGAGTCTAGTAAAGGAGTGTGTTGACTTGCCCTGAAAGTGGGAAACCACTCTTTATTGTATTCAAATCTTAGTACTCTAAATACTTCCTTTCTAGCAAAGATAATATTGTCAAATAGGGAAGTACAGGTGCCATTCAGGAACTGCTGCCTCTTATCATAATTGATATAAAACTAGTGATTTTCTATGTGAGTATCTGCCTGCAACTTTTGTTTTATTCTTTAAAAGTCAAAATACTTTTCCTTGACATCAAAAATGATCTGTTGCTGTGGAGAGGCAGAGAGTTTAAAAAAAAAAAAAATCACCTGGGGTGATTGTTCTTCAGAAACGTAACAGTGCAAATAGTTGCTGGCAAATTTTGCTATGGAAAAACACCTAAATCCTGCTGTAGAAGTTAAGCTCATCTATCGGAAAATGTGGAAAATGAAAAAAAAAATAGAAAAATGGGAATTACTTTCACAAAGGTTTTTGTAAGCATTTTCATGTGCAAACAAACAGCTTGTTATTTGCTTTCACCTCTTAGTAATATAATAGTATTACAGTTGTTCCGTCTTTTAATTTTGTAGCAAGCTTGTTATTATTAATGCTTCGTTGGTGATTCAGAATTGTTCAGTTTTTAGTGTAGGAAGGAAATTCTTTCTTCTTTCCCCAAAAGCGTTCCAGCCAAGTTTCATGGAAGCTTGTTAGTTCCAGGAACTTTACTGATAACATAGTTATAAAATTTGCCTTTTAATGCAGGTGTATTGGCCTAACTTGAAATTCATGATCAGGATTGGTTAAAGACAGCTGTCTACGCTCTAATCAGACCCCCTTTGTCTGCAGGAATCAGAATGCCTAGTCCACTGTGGGGTTTCCCTCTCTCTTCCATTGCAGTACTCAGCCTGCTTATCAGTTCAATGTTTCGTTTATGGATGCGGTTGAATACATGTCTATTGAATGACGATAAATGAACAGAACTAGGGTCTGTTCTGTGCTCAGCTGATAAGCCACTATTAGATCCTAAAATACTTCTCTTAAGGACGGACGTGGGCACTCAGAATATTCTGGCTTTCACTTCTTTTTTTTTTTTTTTTTTTCCATGGAAGATTGCTTTCTCTGAGGATTATCCATGTTCTTGCCTTTTTTTGCCTTCCGCTCCTTGCTGGTGCTCAAGAACTTTGGGCGACTTTAATATTTTAAAACTGGGTTCTGTTGTTTCATACCTGTGTGACCTTCCTGAAACTCAGGCGTCCCCCTGGGCCACATGGTGATCATAATAGTGACAACAATATCAATGATAATAATAATAATGATGATGATGATGATGATGAATGGGCAGTTCATATCATTACCATAAGGACTGAATGAAAATTCATTAGCATATCTTTAGCAGAGGAGTTCTCAAATTTGACTGCTTATGGAATCACGTGGAGAGCTTTAAAAAACAGTGATGCCTGTTTCCTAACCCTAGAGATTCTGGTGTTAAGTGTAGTGTGGATTTTTGAAAAGGGCTTTTGAAAAGGAGATTTGAGGTAAAATTTGAGCACCACTGCCTTATCACTGCTATTTAATAAGCACTCGCTAAATATTAGCCACTGTTATTGGTGTTATCACTGTTATTTTTGTATTTATTATTATTAAAAATTTCAATCAGATTTGCAGGAAGTCAGTTTTCATTTCACTTAATGTGGAGAAGTTTATGTTGTAAAGAGAGCTGGGGGAGGGGCTTGGCCGAAAGGGGCTCTGTGGGTTGACCTGCTGGAGAGAAGGGGATATTGCTATCAGTTTAAAAGTCGTTCAGTTGCAAAAGAACACCCCAGCACCAACTGGATAAATACAAAAATTATTAAAAATGATCTGAATGCATTGAAAATTCCAGTGGAAGTGCGGGATTCAGGCGATGTCTCAGGCAGCTGAGCAAAAGCTGTCACCAGGGAATATGTATTTCTTTCTCTTGCCAGTCTGGGTTCCAAGGTGTTGAAAGCGATTCCTCTTCCGTCCTCAGTATCCCCTTGGTGGCCATTGTCTGCTTGCCATCATTGGAAGCTCCAGGCTTCCCCAAGTAACAGCAGTTCAATGGGGGAATCAGAAGAGAGACCAGCTTCAGGAATACAACCACCTTGTCGAAGGAGGCCAATGGCTCCGGGGGCGGCGGGGATGGGTGGGGAGTTGGGGAATAAATAAGAGGAGACCATTGTGTTGGCTAGAAGAAAACAGCAGGACTGACAGCATAAGATTTAAAAGTGTCAAGGTAACCAGTCGGGAGTGAGAGAAGCATGGGTAGGAAACGTAACATGAAGACAGATTGAGTGGAAGACATTCTGGAGGCTTTATAGACCGTAAAGGAAGGAAGAACACGTGTGGAGCAGATAATATTTATCAAAATACTCAGGCACCCCGTGAATATTATTACTATTATTTTTGTTTTTCACAGTATCTCATTACATAAAAATTCATGATCTAGCTGAAGATGAACTGTTTTCTCTGCCTGCTGTGATTGGAAATAACAGTTATAAGAAATGGAAAAGCTTCTATGTGTTGCCCCATTAATGAATTTTAAATGTCGACTCCCAACACAGTATATGCAATTCCAGATTGGCTTTTCCATAATGCAGCCTTTGTTCTAGTAATCAGTTTCAAAATTTCTCACTGGGGAGAAATGGAAAGATTTTTATCCGCATGTAGAAAGGTAAAAGAGGAAAAAAAAAAGAAGATTTATCCTTTGAAATCTAAAAGGTGTTTGTGTTTCCTTCTTCGCTCTCTCTCTCTGCCTCCTGCTGAGGCTTATAAAGTGCATCTAGAGGCCAAGTGCTATGGGATGTGCACCTTGCACGTGCTGGGGACATATATCTTCTGGATCTTCATTTCAACATGAGCTTTACTTTTAAAAAGAGGCTTTATCACTGTGGTTTCTGATCTGTTAGTGGTGGTTCCTCTCCCAGCAGATCAATTTCGTGGCTCATGTACAGCATTAATAAAATGAAATAGATTGGACTAGAATGAAAAAAAATCAGCATCTTGCAGAGGACGTTGTTTGGTGAAACATCTTTTGTGCCTGTGAATGTCTGTTCTGGATCACAACCCAAAGTGTTTTTTTGTTTGTTTGTTTGTTTGTTTTTTTACTATGGGCCACATTAGAAGGGCTGCAAAAAATGCTGCTGAAAATATAGTCTTTGGGATATATAGTTTATCTTTGGGATTCTTAGGGTGTATTCCATCTGTAGGTGTACTGAAAAGTAGATCGAGTTGTGGTTTTGGATGTCAGCTCTGCCAGTAACACCCTTCTGTGGGTGCCTCTACTTACTCATCTATGAAATGGGGTGGGGAGGACCCACAGGATTTTAGGTGTGTAAGTTGGCTTAACCCTTGATTCCAACTTTTAAAATGAGAAGTTGGGGCACCTGGGTGGCTCATTTGGTTAAGCGTCTGACTCTGGGTTTCCGCACAGGTCATGCATGATCTCAGACTCCTGCCCTGTGTTGGCTTCTGTGTTCTGCAGGGTGTCTGCTGGAGATTCTCTGCTTCTGCCCCTCCACCAATGCGTGCTCTCTTTCTCAAGTAAATAAATAAATATATATATTTTTAAAAATGGGAAGTTAATCCAGCCAAGGCATGCCATCTTACAGATTAGAAAATTAATGTTGACAAGTTTGCATGACCTAAATAAAATTTCTTACCTTGGTTGTAGAAAATCAGGTGACTTTAGTGAAAAGTCAGGTCACATTCTAACCAAAGTAAGGGGCAATGTAAACAAAAATAAAAGAAAGGAAGAAAGATTTATGTGGAGTTTTGCACTGGGCTTCTTGAAACCTATTGTAAGATTGCTTTGGACTCCATAGAGGCCCTGTGACTACAGAGGCTGTCCCAGGTTTCCAACATGAAAACGGTTGCTGACGTTCGCGTTGTTACATACTGAAAAACATTTCTGTAGTCTTACTTTCAAACTATGTGTCATCCAAAGAAAACGGCTTCACGTACTTGGCTGACAATTAACCAATTCATTCTATCGATAAAGGGCAGCCTATTTCAGATGTGTAATGCTAATTGGAATACAGGTTCCTTGTATATATCTGGATTATAGTAATTCTGTGTCATAGATAATATCACTGGAATCATGTAAGATAGATTACAGTAAAATGAAATTTAAAAAAAAATTGACCCGCTTTTGTTTTCCTAACCCCT